ATGTCTATCTGCACCTCTAAATATCTATCTATCTATCTATATACTGTATATCTATACGTATAAGTATACATGTATATATGCGCATGCACATATTATCTAATCATGAATGTATAACGTGTACGTATGTGAACGCAATGTATAAGTATGTTTTTGTATTTAGGCTCGTTTTATTTGTTAGGAAAAGCTAATAAACAAACAAATGATCATAAAAATCGGCGTAAACTAGATGTGCAAATATACACTTTTTTGGCCGTTTTACAAATGTGGAGATAAATAGAGCAAAGTTTCTCAACCATGACGCTTTACTGTTTCCTGTGTATTTACTTTACATTCCGTGTGACTGTTAGTTTGTTAAATGGATGAATGTAATATTTAATTTATTATCATATTTGTAAGAGTTGTAACAATAGTAATGACAGCAGTGTTAGAATGAGTCGTGCTAATGATACTAATATTGGTAATGATGATGATGGCAATAATATAATAATAATAATAATAATAATAATAATAATAATAATAATAATAATAATAATAATAATAATAATGATAATAATGATAATAATATAATAATATGATAATAACAGTGATAAAAATATTCAGGTTGTAATAGTAATAATAATGATGATCATAAAAAGATAGTAATGATGATCATAAAAAGATAATAATGATGATCATAAAAAGATAATAATAATGATAATATAAATAGTAAAAAGATAATAGTAATGATAATAGTAATAATAAAGATATTAATACTAATACTAATAATAAAAAGAAACATAAGAACAGCAACAATTATATCATTCATAAGGATGATAAAATAAAATTGATAGAAATAATCATTAATAGAGGTGACATTATATTTCAAGACACCGACAATCATCTCCATTATTGTTGTGATTAGCAGCAATGCCAATACTAAGCTCTTTTGGTATGTAAATCATTAGTGTGTAAATAATTAATACGCTTAAGATTATCGTTCTCATACTTGTCGCTATATCATTCTCATTATCACCATTAATGATAATCGTCGTTATATTATTCTCACCACTATCACCAAAGTAAAATATATTCATAATTCTAGAGGAAAAAGAATATATATAAGTATATCAGACACGAAAAAAGCCCAAACGTCAATTTTCAACTAAATACTATTATATTCCCTCTTCACATTACGTTGCCAAAGGATATCCTGAGGGAACAGCTTCTATCGTTAGAGTAAAATCTGTCGCGATTATCTTCGGGAAATAAAAGTTGGGGAAGTACGCTTTTATAAATCGTAATGTTCGTTTTATTGTGTTTTTAATGTTCGTTTTATTTCTTTTTATTTCTATTACATAGGCTGTGAAATCTGTGACAGTTTACGAAAAGCAACGAAGAGTTAAGCATAGACGATTGGTAAAACACTGGACTTTAATTCTATTATTTTCTTAAATAGCCCCGTTTTATTATATTATTCATATCCTTTTGCAAACGATTTAGGAAAATATAATTAATCCTTACATTTAGCTTCCGCACCGAGCGAAGCTATTCACTGAAGTGTCAAAGAACAATTTATAATTCACTTTTTAAAATATTTAGACCCAAGTAATTCAATCTCTTTTGACTAAGGAAAATACAGTTATTTAAACTAGCGTCCCCCTTTGGCATTCCCATGACAGCCTTCAGTTATTACTATATCTACGATTTACATGAATACGTCAAAGAACAGCGTAAAAAAATGAGGTTTGCTCCTTCCATAATTCAACAACCACTCTCTTAGTCTCTATAAAACAACGCGCAAGAGGTTAAAAGATCATAGACGAGTAAAGGACGAACTCTCGATCATGTCTCAGGGCGTCCCGCTAGACATCAATTATTCATGTCTCTCCCTTTGACGGAATCTGAGGGAATGAGGAAGGGGCGGTAGATGGAATAAGAGTCGGAGGTATTAAAAAGTTGGAAAGGGAGGGAAATAACCTGTTTCTTCCACTATTAAGAGCTCGACTCATCTACTCAACTTCAACTACGAAGGAGAGAAAAGGGTCTAAGAGAGAAATCAAAAACAAATTTTTCATAAGCCATCATCCTCTCTCTCACGGCTCATTACGCCCCTCCCCGGAGTCCCTTCACGCGCCACAAATTTTGATTCTCGAACTTGTTTTCTCCCTCCTCCTCGCCCGTCGGATCGCCACTCGCCAAGAAGTCAGACGACAAGCCAGAAGAACTCAATGTACCAATTTAACTCGCTACACTTACCTTGTACGGAGTTGGGGGAGTGTGGTTGGTTCTCAAAGAGAGAGAGAGGGAGGTGCTGTTGGCGCGAGAGTCGACGGCGGTTGCAAGAGCGGGGTCGAGGGGCTCCTGACGGGTCGGCTGCTGGCGGGCGATTGGCTGCGGAGAGCGCGGGGCGGCCCTGGTGCGGGAGGCCGGGGTTCTGCTCGAGCTTCTTGTGGGACCCAACTGCTGCTGCTGCTGCTGTTGTCTGCTCGGTCGTGGTGTGTTGAGTTTACGAGCGCGTTAC